GTATAGCGTATACTTTGACACTGTGGCCGAGTGGATATTACACTCTACTTATGACCAATAGTCTCTGGTTCGAGTCTAGTGTCCAAATACTGTGATGGGACACCTCGTCGACCCTAACTATACACAATGGTGCCATACAGAATATTATGATCATTTCTCAGACCTCTGCTGTGTGTAGGGTGCCACTACTCTTTATACAACCAAGATACTGCGCGTGTTGTATATGTTTGTGTAATACATTTGTGAGTCATTGTACTACAGTATATCCGTCTGTAAATATACGTAGCACTTTATACCCCGTCTTGGGACCACGTGGGAACATGACAGTCAGAGAGAGAGAGAGAGAGAGAGAGAGAGAGAGAGAGAGAGTGTGTGTGTTTGTGTGTGCGTGCATCAGTGCGGAAATTAATTCGTCTCAACTATTTTCAGCGGAAATTCACGAAATTTGATACAAGTGGTGTATGAGGATGGTTCTTGTTTAATAATATACCACAGCCTGAAGCGGGAAATGTCTCCTTTGGGAAGGGGGTAGGGGGAGGTGGGGGTGCCGGCAGTGCCATAGTGAGCCAGCCACGATGGCACTCAACAGGTGGCTGGTCGGCTGTAGGCCCTCGTGTCCCGCTGCTCACCACTTCTGACTACTGCCTATGACTCTCAGGTCCACATTCTCAGAGGCTCTTTGAGATAAATATTCCTCGTAAGTGAAGATGTAAGAATATACCGAGACCTGGTTAATTCAAGCATAGAAATGACATCCCCCCCAAAATACCCACAAAGGTAACATGGAAATACCTACCAGGAACGTAAGGAAGAGGGAGGTGAGGGGAAGGGTGATAAGGAAACGAAATGAGAGAGAGATAGAGGCAGATGAGAGGAGATTGAGAGTGAAAGGAGAAGGAGGTGAGGGAGAAAGGAAGGGCAAAGAGAGAGAGAGGAAGATTTTGGCCAGAGGAGGGTTTGAGGTGGGGGAGAGGAGAGGAGAGAGGTTTGGGGGGGGGGGGGGAGAAAGAGGTGAGAGGGGGAGGTGGGGGAGGGTAGAGTAGAGGTGCTCAAGGGGGCGGATGGCATCATTACCTCTCACACCTGTGGCACTGAGCCTGCTGTTGTGTGGCTCTGGCTCCCCCATGTGTCTACCATCCCTGTGTGTCTTCTCTCCCTCACAGTCTGCCCTTCCTCCCTGCATCTCTCCCTCACAGTCCTCCCTCCCTCCCTATATCTCACCCTCACTGTCCTTCCTCCTCTCTATATCTACTCCTCACTGTCCTCCTCCTGCATCTCTCCCTCACAGTCTCCTCCCCTCCCTATCTCTCCCCTAACTGTCCTCCTCCACTGCATCTCTCCCCTCTGATCCTCCTCCTCCCTATATCTCTCCCTCACAGTCCTCCCTCCCTCCCTATATCTCTCCCTCACTGCATCTCTCCCTCGCAGTCTTCCCTTCCTCCCTGTATCTCTCCCTCCCTCCCTGCATCTCTCCCTCACAGTCTTCCCTCCCTCCCTGTATCTCTCCCTCACAGTCCTCCCTCCCTCCCTATATCTCTCCCCTAACTGTCCTCCCTCCTGCATCTCTCTCCCTCCCAGTCCTCCCTCCCTCCTGCATCTCCCCTCACAGTCTCCCCTCCCTCACTGCATCTCTCCCTCGCAGTCTTCCCTTCCTCCCTGTATCTCTCCCTCCCTCCCTGCATCTCTCCCTCACAGTCTTCCCTCCCTCCCTGTATCTCTCCCTCACAGTCCTCCCTCCCTCCCTATATCTCTCCCTCACTCCCTGCATCTCTCCTCCCCAGTCCTCCCTCCCTCCCTGCATCTCTCCTCACCAGTCTTCCCTTCACTCCCTGTATCTCTCCCCTCCTCCTGCATCTCCCTCACAATCCTCCCCTCCCTCCCTGCATCTCTCCCTCGCAGTCTTCCCTTCCTCCCTGTATCTCTCCCTCCCTCCCTGCATCTCTCCCTCACAGTCTTCCCTCCCTCCATGTATCTCTCCCTTCCTCCCTGTATCTCTCCCTCATAAGATACTCACGAACGCCAGGATTGGAAAGGATTGTGATTTTATGATTCGGTGGTGGAGTTTCAGGCGTAGGAAGGATTAGGCAGCAATTGTTGTGGGTGTCCTTCACAGCTGGTGGATTGGGTAGTTATCTGGGGAAAACGATTGGTAGCGGATTAAGAAAGCGTCGTGATTAGGTGGTTTAGTGGGCGACCTTCGAAGTGGGAAGATTGGAAAACTAGTCTAATGATTTGGTTAGGTTAGGTTAGTGTTAGGGTGTCCAATCTTCTGGTGATGGTTAGATATAAATACTGTATAGTCCTTTACTTGTACAGGTGAATCGTTGGACAGGTGTGTGATAGCTTAGGGGTTGTCTAGTGACGAACTAATAAAAAAAATAATATATTTTAATTGTGGTTCATTTACGCCTTGAACACATTTTTGCTGTCGTTCACACATGTTTTCTCTTAATTCTATAATATATTTAATAATTCGTCTGACCTAGTGGATTATTTCAGCCAGGTTAGTGATTATAGTTGTTATTTTTCATAGTAATTTCGTCTAATTTTCATAATTATTTAAGGTGTGTTGGAACGGATCTTTGGTGCGTGGCATTCCGGTGGAGAGCGTGTCGCAACCTGCCACAGCCCACCACCTGGGTGTTGACGCTGCCACTCAACACACTCACACGGCAGGTAACCACACAATCCTGGGACTGAAGATGCTCATTATCGTGTAAAATAACGCTCTGTGAACTAACCTGTTTTAAATGGCTGATATACGGGGAGTAAGGGGTGAGAGGACACGGCGGGGCGGGGAGGAGTTCTGGGGTGGAGGCGTGTGTGGGGGGAGAGGGGGAGAGGGGAGACAAAAAGTGAGCACTGAGCCAGGAGTATCATAGTGCCTCCCTAACTGGAACCCGAGATGCCCAGGCGGTGTGATTGACTACAACTTGTACTACAACTACTGCAGCTACCCGCCTCCTCTGACCCAAATTCACTGGTAGTACTGCACTGCTCTGTCGCGGTATGGTGGCCTTGTGAGTCTTGGTGCTCATTCGTGATGCGTAATGGAGTATGTGTGTGGTTGTGTGAGGTGGTGGCTGTGCAGTGCGCGTGTGTTGCGTTGCCTTGATGAACTGAAAGAGAGAGAGAGACAGACAGAGAGAGAGAGAGAGGGAGAGAGGCGTGTTGAGCAAGTGTGGCCGAGACGAAGTGAGAGAGCGGACTGGACTACACCAGCAGCCGCGACCAACCAGCGGCAGCAATGTTGTAGTGAGTGTGGCTCCCCCAGCACCACCACCGCCACCATCACTACCACCAGTCTCCGCCCCGACTGCCTCACAGACAGTGGTCGTCGGTCACTGTCTCGTAGCCAATCTTATACCGTGTGCAATTGTTGTTGACACTTTGGCCCGAGTTATCCAGTGATTTATTCCCTATGAAAATATTGATGCTTTTCTAACAGTGTGTCAGTGTGAAATATTATTGTAAGTAGCTGGTGCAGTGTTGACACCCCGTGGCTCTATAGGATGGAACATTGTTTTGGCTCTATTCAAATTTCATAACACGTGATGATGTTTATAACACGAGGGAATACAACGGAACAATTTTATTTTGTGAATTATAGTGATAAACAAACTGTAAAGTCAGTATTGTTTGTGGTGTGGATCCATTGTATTACGGAATGTTTACAAACAAGTGGATTTATAAGTTATTGCGTAGTTATAGTGAAACAATGACTCATGTCGTTAAAGTAGTTGGTGGTGAGAAGCAGTGTATTGGTTAAAGAGGCTGTGTGTGTGTGTGTGTGTGTGTGTGTGGGTATTGTTAAGGGAGTGTGGGAGTCGCCAGAGAACCTGTTACAGCTGACAGTGGTGGTGGTGACGGCAACCACTAGCATGCATCACCCCACCTCATACTCCCCCACCACCTCCCTCCTCCCCATGACCCTCCCTCCACACACACACACACACTATTAGTTATATCTTTTATAATTTTATTTCGCCGTGTGTGTGTGTGTGTGTGTGTGTGTGTGTGCATCATTATCGTACCATTTGTCTACTATTATAATCTCCCAATACTTATAAACAAGTTCCCGATATTAAACGACCTTTTATGGATCATGAAGCAATGCCAGAACCTCGCGTCAGACGAAAGATTCTCAAAGCTTCTTACTGACTTAACGTTAAATTTTCCTAACCTAACCAAAAATAACCTAACCTAACAAAACCTAACTAAACAAAAACTAACCTAACCTAACCTAGTCTTCCCAAAGCTAATTAAAAAAGTCGGATGTACAAATCCCTACCCCCGATACACAACCCCGCATTATTCAGGGTCACACATACTTTTAAATCATAATTAAAATAATGTATAATAATAATAATAACGTAATAATATAATGTCCTCAATAAATGGTGTCGAAATAAACATGAAGATTTTCCCGTAATAAATTGATGTGTTTCTGTGTTCTTACTTTATGAAATAAATATATGACGTCGATTCCATTGGGTCCGGTTTATTTGGTTGTAAAGATCTCGTGTGTGTGTGTGTGTGTGTGTGTGTGTGTGTGTGTGTGTGTGTGTGTGTGTGTGTGTGTGCACTGGCTCGTTACAAAGTGCCATCTGACTCGCCATAAAAATTCATTAACTTGTTTGATTTGTAATAGACTTCGTAGTACTTCACAGACATTTGTACTTCACACACATGGCTGACGCTAACAGACACCTGACACTTCACAGACACTTATTACACACATGTCTTACCCCTAACAGACACCTGACACTTCACAGACACTTGTACTACACACATGTCTAACCAAAACAGACATATGGGCAGTGACTTGTACGTAACTGATACAGGAATTCAACAGACTCGTTGAGAGAGAGAGAGAGAGAGAGAGAGAGAGAGAGAGAGAGAGAGAGAGAGAGAGAGAGAGAGAGAGAGAGAGAGAGAGAGAGTGTGTGTGTGTGTGTATGTCGAGTGAACGTAAGACTTGTAAAAAGACTGAAGGAAGTAAACTGAAGTAAGCTTAAGACTGGTGGTGAGACTTGAGAGTGAGTTAGAGAGTCGGTAAGAGCTAGTGGCGGGAGGAGGCGAGGCAAGGCGGGCAACAAGACCCTTTCATGAGCTTGCTGGACTGGACGGTAGTGAACAAGATCAAGAGTGTTTGGACGTGAGGCAAGACCAGTAGCACACACACACACACCAAGGGATATGGTAGAGTGAGAGAGAGGAGAGATGTGCCTCCGTATCAGAATAAGTCATAGTTGTGTCTAGGTTAGGTTAGGTTAGGTCAGGTCAGGTGGATTTTTTTCCTAGATTCTTCAATTCACGACGAGGTGGATGCTTCGGCCCCCATACAGACACCACCAGCTAGCACACACAGAGCAGCAGGGTAATTGAATACACTATCGGCCTGTAGGAACAACCCAGTACTGTAGCCTCCTGCCAGGGTGTGTGAAGTAACTCACTATAGCTACTGAAGGCTAAGAACCAGAGCATCACATCCTACCTGACCACTCGGTATACATAGGCTTGTATACATAAAGGATAAAAATACATATACATATAAAAAGATGTTGTGGCATGATGGGTGAGTGAGGGTTGTGGTAGCGAGGGTTGACCGGACACACTGACCAGATAACGCAGAGTCGACGTCATATCAGAAGACCGCCGCCGGGTGTGTCATCCAAACATCCTGCACGGGCTTCAGTAGAGACTCATGAGGCTTCACTGTGGTGTGTGTCAGGTCAACATCATGTAAGGGCTTCACTTTGTGTCACTAGAACAACCTACAGGGGCTTCACTAAGTACTTAAGAAGTTTCGTACACGCGCGCCCCTCTGTGTGTGTGTGTGTGTGTGTGTGTGTGTGTGAATACGGACAGGCTGATAACCGGCCTGGCGTAACAGAAGCGGCAGCCGGAGGGAAGGTGATGGTGGTGGAGGAGGTGTTGGTATGGTGGTGGTAGTGTGATGGTGGTGGAGGAGGTGTTGGTATGGTGGTAGTGTGATGGTGGTGGAGGAGGTGTTGGTATGGTGGTGGTAGTGTGATGGTGGTGGTAGTGTGATGGTGGTGGAGGAGGTGTTGGTATGGTGGTAGTGTGATGGTGGTGGAGGAGGTGTTGGTATGGTGGTGGTAGTGTGGTGTTGTTGGTATGGTGGTGGTAGTGTGGTGTTGTTGGTATGGTGTTGGTAGTTGTTATCACGGGGCTGGCGATAAGAGCAAGCATACTGGCGTGCGTCCCTGATAGTCCAAAGTGGAAGGCCGGGAGAAGGGGTTGTGTGTGTGTGTGTGTGTGTGTGTGTGTGTGTGTGTGTGTGTGTGTGTGTGTGTGTGTGTGTGTGTGTGTGTGTGTGTGTGTTCCTTTGGGCTTCATTATTGGCCCACGAAGTAATCAGTTTGTGTAAGTTTTTTTTTTAACTGCTTGATATGCTTACACACACACACACACACACACACACACACACACACGTTCCATTTTCTATTGGCCATAAACTATACTGCATTGCATTTACTTTACCGTAACCACCTTCCGGCAAAGGATTATTACAGTTTAGCTCTTATGCGTTCAGTTGGCCATTAAGTGTATTATTATTATTATTATTATTATTATTATTATTATTATTATTATTATTATTATTATTATTATTATTATTATACGCAAGCGCCATCATGAATTCAAGTCAGCGTAATTGTCGTATCATATAAATGTCAACAGGTGCATTAGTTTACTGTGGCGCTTGTAAGGTTATTGTGATTGAAAAGGGATGTTATTTCATCGGATTTATTTACTCTAACGATAAATGGTTATTTTAGCATAATTATTTACTCTGTAACCTTTAGTGATTGATTGGAGTTGTTTCAGCAGCGTTACATAATATTAAACGCTTTGTGGTGATTGAAAACATATTCGTATGTATTAATTTTCGATGAAGTCTTTGTGATTGAATGAAGTTATTTCTACTGCGTTATTTATTATGACGGCTTAAGGTGTTTAGAAAAAGGATATTTAAAAGTATTTGTTGGACTTTGTAACTTTTTGTGATTGAATAATGTTATTTCAGCAGTGGTATTTACTCTTACACGCTTTTTGGTGTTTGAAAGAAAAGGTGATTGCAACGCAGTCATTGGCTGTATAACCCTTTGTGTATGGAAAAGAAAAGGTTATTTTGACATTAATTGACATTTTAAAAACATTTTGTGATTGAAACAAATATTATTTCTACAGTGATTTCCTCTTCAACGCTTTGTGATTGAAGAGGCATTTCAACTATTAGCTACTATTTAACGCTTTGTGGTGATTGAAAAAAAAACGAACAAACAAGTTATCTCAAACGCGTTATTTACAAACTATTCCCATATGGTGATTGAAAAAAAGTGTTATTTATCACTCCCAAACCTCCTGTGATTAATAAACGGAACAAAAAGTGCTATCAAGGAACTACAACAGCCACCACTTCGTCAGCACCACTTCGTCAGCACACACACACACACACGTAGGCGCCACTTACAGGTGTGTAGCTCTGTGTCACTTGTATTGTACCACAGGTATTCTTAAGTGGTGATTCTCGTCCAGCCAGCGGAACTTACAACTGTTTACAGGTAAGTTTGTGTGAGGTGGGGGGGGGTGAGGAGTGTGGGGAAGGTGGGGAAGCTAGTGCGTGTGGGTAGAGGAGAGTGTATGTGTGTGTCAAATTGACCGTATTATACATGGTGGAATGTTTGTTGGCGAATGAGATGGGGGTTGTGTCCGGGACCAGATAGATAAACAAAGAAATATGTATATAAACAAAGAAATGTATAAATAAGAAACAAATAAACAAGTAAAAAGTAAATAAATAATTACTTCCGGGTTGTGTGACCTTTTTTTTTTGGTGGGTAAATTTCCTCGTAAATTTTTATTATAGGTAATGAGTCTAAATTTGGATTATTTATTAATTTTTATTTTTTGTGTGGTTATTTCGTGTTATTTTCCTTCCTTCCTTCCTTCCTTCCTTCCTTCCTTCCTTCCTTCCTTCCTTCCTTCTATCTCTTCAACGTTTTCTTTTACTTTCTGCTTTGCTTTATCTTGTCGTTGTTGCTGCTCTTCTTCTTCTTTTTGTTCTTTCCTTCCGGTGCCTCTCTCATCTATCATCCTCTCTTCTCTAAGTCTCTTTTCATCGTGTTTATCCTGTATCTTTATTCTTGTTCCCCTCCTGTCCTTCTCCTGTCCTCCTCCTCCTGTCCTCCTGTCCCTCCTGTCTCTTCCTGTCCCCCTCCTGTCCCCTGCTGTCCTCCTCCTGTCCCTCCTGTCCTCCTGTCCTCCTCCTGTCCTCCCTCCCTGTCCTCCTCCCTGTTCCTCCCCTGTCCTCCCTCCCCCTGTCCTCCTCCTGTCCTCCTCCCCTGTTCCTCCTGTCCTCCTGTCCCCCTCCTGTCCTCCTCCTGTCCTCCTCCTGTCCCCCTCCTGTCCTCCTCCTGTCCTCCTCCTGTCCCTCCTGTCCCTCCTCCTCCTGTCCTCCTGTCCTCCCTCCTGTCCTCCCTCCTGTCCTCCTCCTGTCCCTCCTCCTGTCCTCCTCCTGTCCCTCCTCCTGTCCCTCCTGTCCCCCTCCTGTCCCCCTCCTGTCCTCCTGTCCTCCCTGTCTCTCTACTGGCATTCAAACGCTATAAGCAGAAGCTTCCTGGTAACTCAAGAGCCCTCCTCCTCCCTCCCTCCCTCCTTTTCCTGGACTGTAGAGTTTGTGGGATACTGTAGGCAAGAGTTCAAGCCTCTGTAGGGGGTGAGACTAAAGGTGAGAGACAGGTGTAACAGGTGTAAAGATTAATTATTAGTCTGTGTGAGGTGAGACTGAAGGTGTGAGACAGGTGTAACAGGTGTAAATAGATTAATTAATAGTCTGTGTGAGGTGAGACTGAAGGTGAGAGACAGGTGTAACAGGTGTAAAGATTAATTAATAGTCTGTGTGAGGTGAGACTGAAGGTGTGAGACAGGTGTAACAGGTGTAAAGATTAATTATTAGTCTGTGTGAGGTGAGACTGAAGGTGTGAGACAGGTGTAACAGGTGTAAATAGATTAATTAATAGTCTGTGTGAGGTGAGACTGAAGGTGTGAGACAGGTGTAACAGGTGTAAATAGATTAATTATTAGTCTGTGTGAGGTGAGACTGAAGGTGTGAGACAGGTGTAACAGGTGTAAAGATTAATTAATAGTCTGTGTGAGGTGAGACTGAAGGTGTGAGACAGGTGTAACAGGTGTAAATAGATTAATTATTAGTCTGTGTGAGGTGAGACTAAAGGTGTGAGACAGGTGTAACAGGTGTAAAGATTAATTAATAGTCTGTGTGAGGTGAGACTGAAGGTGAGAGACAGGTGTAACAGGTGTAAATAGATTAATTATTAGGTGTGTGAGAAAGATTAATTATTAGTCTGTGTGAGGTGAGACTGAAGGTGTGAGACAGGTGTAACAGGTGTAAGATTAATTATAGTCTGTGTGAGGTGAGACTGAAGGTGTGAGACAGGTGTAACAGGTGTAAAGATTAATTATTAGTCTGTGTGAGGTGAGACTGAAGGTGTGAGACAGGTGTAACAGGTGTAAAGATTAATTAGTAGTCTGTGTGAGGTGAGACTGAAGGTGTGAGACAGGTGTAACAGGTGTAAAGATTAATTAATAGTCTGTGTGAGGTGAGACTAAAGGTGAGAGACAGGTGTAACAGGTGTAAAGATTAATTATTAGTCTGTGTGAGGTGAGACTAAAGGTGAGAGACAGGTGTAACAGGTGTAAATAGATTAATTATTAGTCTGTGTGAGGTGAGACTAAAGGTGAGAGACAGGTGTAACAGGTGTAAATAGATTAATTATTAGTCTGTGTGAGGTGAGACTGAAGGTGTGAGACAGGTGTAACAGGTGTAAATAGATTAATTAGTAGTCTGTGTGAGGTGAGACTGAAGGTGTGAGACAGGTGTAACAGGTGTAAATAGATTAATTAGTAGCCTGTGTGAGAAGGTTTAGCTACAATTTAATCGTCTAGGTGAACTGTGGGATCAGACCGTAACTAGGTGAAGTCACAGGTGTAAATAAAGAACTGACTGGGAGATACACTAACTAATTGATGTTAGGTGAGGCGAGGTGAAACAGGTGAGTCACAGGTAAGATGAGTTAGGTTATTCTGAAGCTGGTAACCGCACCCACCCTACCCTACCCCACCCCACCCCACCCCCACCTACACCGAATCCCACCACGAACCCCTACCACCCCACCCCGCCCCACCCAACCCAACCCCACCCACACCCCCACCCCACCCCCCACCCACCCCACCTCACCCCACCCCGAATCCCACCCACCCAATCCTCCCCTACCCCACCCCCACCCCACCCCACCCCACCCCACCCCACCCGAATCCCACCCCACCTGAACCCACCCCACCCAATCCACCCACCCTACACCCCACCCCGATCCTGACACAAATTACCCCAGGGCTGGAATATATACTGGTCTCTTGCCGGAAGTGAGAGTACCATTACTGAACACCAAAAACACCTAACACAGTGCGCGCCAAAATTTAGATAATCATAGAGTCGCCTTCCCATCGTTCAAGAAATATCCTGTGTGTGTGTGTGTGTGTGTGTGTGTGTGAATATTTAACAGCAACTTAATTGGAATTCTCAGAAGCTCATCTAAATATCCTGCCTCTGCTCTACGACACAGAGATGGTATTCTCAGGTGTTGGTGTATTAAACTAATCCACACTTAATTGGAGGTGTTATAAAGCACTCACCTTGACCACTTAAGGTTGGGTAAAGGAAAGATACATTAATGATTCACCGTAAATAGATTTGTTTTCTCCATCTACGAAACATAAAAATAATGGTGATTAAGACAGTTACCAAACAGTGACTAATGGTAGACCCTGGTGCCATATGTCCCAGGTTGATGATCTGACTTTCTGCCTCATTTACACACCATTGCTGGGTCTCAATTGTTTCTCTTACTTTGACAACACAACATACATATAGCGCTTCTCTCTATTAATCTTTTTTATGGTCGTTTATTATTATTATTATTATTATTATTATTATTATTATTATTATTATTATTATTATATTTTCGCCCCCAAGCCCTGATGTGAGTCATTGACCTTTGACCTGATGGGCTAATGCCATAAAAAAGAGACAAAAGCCACCACATTTACTGTAGATAGGGGTAAAATAATCCTCCCTCACCGGAAAAGGCTTCTATCAGTCAGACCAGGATAGACAGAGTGCAAGAGTTACCAGGATAGATTGGCTGGCTTTATCTCGCCTTAAACATATGGTGTTTTGTTTTACTATCTAGAAATGGAAGGAAAAATTATGATAGGAAGTATACATACATACATACATACATACATACATACATACATACATACATACATACATACATGTGGAAGATTGATAAGGATGCATATATACGGATAAACTCGCGTGAGGGATAAACGTACAGACGGACACTGTACTTTGGGAACAGACAGACAGACGAGGGAGACAGACGTACAGACAGACAGATGAGGGAGACAGACGTACAGACAGACACTGTACTTTGTGAACAGACAGACAGACGAGGGAGACAGACGTACAGACAGACAGACGAGGGAGACAGACGTACAGACAGACATGAGGGAGACAGACGTACAGACAGACACTGTACTTTGGGAACAGACAGACAGACGAGGGAGACAGACGTACAGACAGACATGAGGGAGACAGACGTACAGACAGACATGAGGGAGACAGACGTACAGACGGACACTGTACTTTGGGAACAGACAGACAGACGAGGAGACAGACGTACAGACAGACACTGTACTTTGGGAACAGACAGACAGACGAGGAGACAGACGTACAGACAGACACTGTACTTTGGGAACAGACAGACAGACGAGGGAGACAGACGTACAGACAGACACTGTAATTTGGGAACAGACAGACAGACGAGGGAGACAGACGTACAGACAGACACTGTACTTTGGGGGAGACAGACAGACGAGGGAGACAGACGTACAGACAGACACTGTACTTTGGGAACAGACAGACAGACGGGGAGACAGACGTACAGACAGACACTGTACTTTGGGAACAGAGACAGACGAGGGAGACAGACGTACAGACAGACACTGTACTTGGGGAACAGACAGACAGACGAGGGAGACAGACGTACAGACAGACACCTTTGGGAACAGACAGACAGACGAGGAGACAGACGTACAGACAGACACTGTACTTGGGAACAGACAGACAGACGAGGGAGACAGACGTACAGACAGACACTGTACTTTGGAACAGACAGACAGACGAGGGAGACAGACGTACAGACGGACACTGTACTTTGGGAACAGACAGACAGACGAGGGAGACAGACGTACAGACAGACAGATGAGACAGACGTACAGACAAACAGAGAGACAGACGTACAGACAGACATGAGGAGACAGACGTACAGACGGACACACGTGGCCGGGGGTAAAGGGAGGTATCACAAGCAAATCATCATCATGGTGTGGCA